CTGGAGCTGAAGGTTGATCAGAAGCAGTGTGAGGACCTGATGCATTTAAGATAGAATCACAAGGGAAGTTAGACACATCAGATTCTGTAACTAAGGGTAAGACAGAATCAGCAACAGGCCTCACTAAAACCCTTGGTGCAAGTTCTATTGTAGCAGGTGAATTAATGGATTTTGTTGAATATTTTGCCGAAGGATCCCCTACATACAATGAACCGTCACCTAGTTTTCCAATAGGTAAAGGTAAAACAGCAGCATCAGCATTATATGAAGTTGTGTTAACTTCTTCAGTAGGAGATACATTGTTATCAGTAACAAAAACACAATTGGAGTCTAAACAATGAGTAAGGCTCCAAGATGAATAAAACCCTTTAGAATTGGTGTTTGTAGATACTCCTATAAGATCAAGATTTTTTAGTTGCTCATACTTAAAATTATGTTTAAAAGGAAACATTGCCTCATTGAACTTAGCTTGTTTAACAATATAAATCTTTCTTGTGGAAGACAAGCATTTAAAACCCTTATAAGCTGGGCTACACCCGATAAACACACATTGCTCAGTGTGATAAGAAAACTTATGCTTTTGATAGAGTCGTATACATGGGTAGCAGCAATAGCCAAAGACCCTAAGATCAGTATATGTAGGTTCTTTACCAAACAGTTTCTAATACGGTGAGATATCTTCAAGAGCAACAGAAGGCAATTTGTTAACAATGAACACTGCTGTGCTAAAAGATTTCCACCAAAAACATAAAGGCATTCCTGCATGAGCTAACAGAGTTAAACCAAACTCTGTAATTGTTCTGTGCCTTCTCTCCACCTTCCCATTCTGCTGAGGTAAATAGGGGCAGCGGTGTCTAAAACCTATGCCATGAGTTTCCAGATATGAGGTGAAAAACCTAAACTTCTTTCCCCCATCAGTTTGAAGATTCTTCAGTGTAGCATCTAATTGTTTTTCAGCAAAAACATGGAAACTAGTAAAGGCTTCAAACTTGAGTTTCAAAGAATATATCCACATGTACCTACTGTAATCATCTACAAACAACATATAATATTTGAATCCTTCTGAAGAACACATTGGTGCAGGGCCCCATAAAATTGAATAAACCAGTTCAAGTGGTCTGGAAGTCTTAGAATTTGACAAAGGAAAATAAGTCTGAGACAATTTGCCAAATTGGCAGGCTTCACAAAAAGTTTTATTATAAGCAGACATTCCAGGTACATGTAGTTTATTTAATACATGCTTAAGAGTTCTTTCTGGGGGATGTCCCAATCTAGCACGCCACACCATTATTGAATTATCAACTACATCAGACTGCACCATATGTAATACATCAGTGGTCTTATTATTATGACTAAAACTATTATGGAGAGTGGAAGAAGCAGCCACATTGCAGGAAGTAGCTGGAGCAGACACACCAGAAGATGAAACCACAACAAGAAGAGAGGCTTCCAATTGATATAAGCCATCCTTTAGGACACCTTGAAGAAGTACATCTCTGGTGTTCTTATCCTTTATAAGACAAAAATCAACATGAAATTCAACTATTATGCCATTATCCTTTGTAATCTGTGAAATACTTAATAAATTCTTTGCTATGTGAGGTACACACAACATATTTCTAAGATGCAACAACCTAGAAGCAGAGCCAGAACTTAGAAAAGACTCACCTGTGTGTGAAACAGGTACTGTTTGTCCATTCCCAACCTACACATTTGAACCACCTTGATAGTTATCTTTAATGATCAGATTGTTGGCATTAGCTGTCATGTGGTTTGTGGCACCAGAGTCCACATACCATGTTTGATCTTGCACAATGTGAGGAGAAGCAACTGGTATATACTAAGCAGCTGCTGATGAGACAGAATTCTGAGATGGTTGAGGAGCACAGTGTTGTAAGGGATAACCAAAATAGTTCTGTGGTGTATTAGCCTGTGAAGAAGGAACATTAGTAATAGATGAAATAAAATTTCTAGAATTAGGATTTCTAGCAACAGGCCTGTGGATGAATTGTCCTGGCATGACTGTACTAAGAAGAGCTTGCGCTAATTCAGTAGAATGTACTAGAGTTTAAAACTTGTGGACCATTAAAACTAGTAGATCCAGGTACTGATCCAGAAACTGAGAAACCTAGATATTCATGATCAAACCTATGATAGCACTACAGTGTTGTGTGTCCTCCCTTACCACATACTTGGCAGATTAGCTTAGGCCCAAAATATCCTCTTCCTCGGCCTCTACTTCTCATCATTCCAGGATGAAACATGTGAGACTAGTTTCCAGGAGTAAAACCATACCCAATATGTGAGTATTAAGAGGAATATGAGGGATTAAAATCTGACTGAACTCCATTGTTTAGACTGTTTCCTCTAAGATGATTGTTACTAGGCATCTGTTGGTGAATCAAACTCTGATCTGAATTTTGAAAATTGGACATCGATTGAAACTGAGGAGTAGTAAAATTATGAGCATGACCAAAATTCCCAATACTAGCACCAGAAACATTTTGAGAACTTGAAGAAGACTCTATTTGAGTCTGTTTGGAAGCCAAAAGAGCCGAAGCCATGTGCTCATGAAAATTTGACAAAGAACTTTGCTGTCTCTCCAACCTAATCTCATGTTTGTGAAGTAAGAATTGGGCTTCTTGTAGTGTCGTTTGACTACTACAAGTTGTCATATTTGCTACAACATCATCATATCCTGGCCCTAAGCCATCTAATATATACAGCAAAAGTTCTTCATCTGTGATATTCACTCCACTTGCAATCAATTCATCTCTTAATTCTTTCATTTTTAATACATATTCACTCACATTACAGCTTTCTTTCTTAGTAGTCTGTAATAGGGTTCTCAGGTGTAAGGTCCTAGCTTTGGATACTGACTGGAAATGAAGTTCTAATATGTTCCATATTTCATATGAAGTAGTGCATTTAGCTACATGCCTAAACATTGATTCAGAGATTGTGGAGTAAAGCCAACTTACCAAGAATTAGTCAATTTTCTTGCAAGTGAAGTATCTAGGGTTCTATTGCTTCACTGTCTGTCCCGAGTCATCCAATTTCTCTAACAAGATCATCGATGGACACTCTTTTTCACCAGTAACAAAACCTTCGAGACCATGAGATGTCAGAGCAGGCAGAATTTGTGATCTCCAGAACGAATAGTTTTTCTCTAGCAATTTTACAGAGATGGCAAGTAGAGTGGGTGGAACTCCCGAAGAAGTGAAATTAGAGCTGGAGCTATGAACCTCCATGTTTGTGTTGCCAAGATTACACGAAAAAAACTTCAAGATAGAGGACGAATTTTTCCCTTGGACGTTGGTCTAGGGCTTTGATACCATGAAGGATTTTGTAAAGAAAAATCAAGAAAAGAAAAGTGCAGAGGAAGCTTCTGTAAAATGAAGAAAACAGAATCTGGAAATTTTATTAACTAATTCTGTTACAGTACATAAGCACTTATATAGCCAATATTTGTTATAAAACGGCAATGCTTTTAAATTCTGTAATTACACTTAAGTCATGTATCTTATACAATTATTACAGAATAGACCCAGCTTCTCTCAAACTAGTCTGTTTCACTTATTCCTCACAGCACCTTTGCTTAACATTTCCCCTTAAGCTGGACATCCATTTTATTTAAAACTTTCTCAGCACCTTTGCTTAACATACATATATATCCATCTCTGTCAATGTTAAATCTAAACTTAAACTCTTGCTAACAAGAGTAAACTCTTTCATGCAAAACAGCATAAATCATAAAGCTTCCGTGCTTTGTGGTATATATTCATAAAGTACTTGTTCCATGATCTATAGATGATTCATATGCACATATATTTGTCTCTCTCAACATTAAATCTGAACTTAAATTCTCGTTAATAAGAGTTAATTCTTGCATGCAAAACAAAAAAAGTAATTTTGTTCTGTTTGGAATAAGTGGGGGGATGGTGACCCCACTCAAAAAATATTTATTAACTTTGCATTTTTCCTTCTATTTTTTTATTTTTCCTTTTCTGAGGTTTCTATACTTGTTAATGTATCCAGATTTAGTCCAACTCAATAACTTTTTCCATATTGTATATTAAATTAGTTATTATCTCACTCTCTTACTTTTCTAGAGTTATATATATTAAATTATTTAGTCCCTTAATTTATAGGTCTATCCCTACTATAGTTCCCTAAATACAATTTCTTGATTCCATCGCTGGATATATAACATTTTGAATTGCAAAATGTCTGAAAATTTGAATGGTGTGTTATTGACAGAAGGAGCTTGTGGGTATGGAGATCTCTTCAAGCGAGGATATGGACTTGAGACAGCAGCTCTGAGCACAGCCCTCTTCAACAATGGATCAACATGCGGTGCTTGTTTTGAAAAAATGTGTGTGAATGATCCCCAATGGTGCATACCAAATGCAGGCACCATAAAGATTACAGCCACCAATTTCTGCCCTCCAAACTTCACTAAAACGACTGATGTTTGGTGCAACGCTCCACAGAAGTACTTTGATTTATCCATGGCAATGTTTGTGAAACTTGCTAACTACAAAGCCGGGGTCATCCCTGTTCGATATCGCAGAGTCTTGTGTTCTAAACAAGGAGGAGTCAAGTTTGAGATCAAAGGAAACAGATATTGGACACTGGTTACAATGCACAATGTTGGAGGTGCTGGTGATGTTACCAATGTTAAAATTGAGGGGTCTAATTCAGGTTGGCAGCAAATGAATCGCAACTGGGGCCACAATTGGCAGATTGGAAGCGCCTTAGCGGGGCAAAGTTTGTCATTCCAAGTCACTACTAGTGATGGGAAGATGGTGCAATTCGATAATGTTGCCCCAGTTAATTGGCGCTTTGGCCAAACTTTTGATGGTAGAATAAATTTTTAGGGATCTTCTCTTATGTATTTTCATAGCTACATCACAAATTCAGCAGTAGCATTTCAATTTATCATCTCACTGAAATAAAAGCAAAAATGGGTTGCAGCAACAAAGGATTTATAAGTAGAATATTCAAAGATTTTATTACATTGTTCATAATGTATCACACAGTACAAAACACAATCCAAGGATTGCACCTTCTTAAGAAGGATAGCCATCTAACCTCAGAATGTGCAGGAATTGATTACAAAGTTCAGTATTTATTGGCAGCTATAATATTTAAAAGGTATGTACAGACTTTGAACATGCATGAAACTTGAACCACTTGGGACAGTCTCTGCAAGGAAGGTGAGGGAGGGAATTCAAACAACTCTCCACAGACACCCCTCCACAAGATAGGCGAAATAGCTAAGACTCGAATACAGATGGATAACTAGTTTGAACCAAAGTTTGATGCTTCAATTTCTTGGCTTTGGCATTCACTTCCAATCTAGCATGTCTAGCAACCACAGGACCTCTTCCTTGGTGCTTGCAGCTTCACAGAAATCCATTTCAAGCCCAAAAACATCAAGGACACCTTCATTTCCATCTTCCATGAAATGCAAAGAAATCCATGCTCGGATTCCAGAAGTGAAAGGGTAAGCAGGGGCGAAGTCAAGATACTCAAATGCATGAGCCCTGTGGGATGATCGATCTATGTAATCAAACCTAGATTTATTAATTATACAAGCAACTCTGTTGGAATCCTTCCGTCCCACAAGCACTGAAGCAGTCACTGTCTGGCTCCAAGGAATAGTAAACCTTGGCTCAACAGGTATAGTCATCTTGTATTCAGGGTCCTCAAGATGATATCGTAGCATGTCTGAAATTCCCGGTGGTGGAATCTTGATTCCATTCTGGAAGACAGGGCCTGGGACCACTTCAGAGAAAATCAATTTATACTCAGTCCAAATGTCAATGAAAAATTCCAAATCGTCCAAAGAAAGTCTTGGTGGCAAAAGAGTTCGACGCTGCTGCCGTTTATAAAAGGTCTGATATAGTTTGAAGTAGGTTACAGTGGGAGGATTAGGTCGCTTGCAAATTGAAGGCCACCTCCTTGCACATAAACATTTCCAGAAGTAATCATCCCGTGCTATGTCTTTCCATTGCTTAGACACCACCATACAGGAAGCAAGGTCTACTCCATCCAATAAAGGGAAAACAGCCTTTAAAATTTCTTCATTTGTCATTTTCAGCTAGTAAACAACAATCAAAAGCAGAATGATAATGTTCCAGCAACCATTTACAGCACTGAAGAGACTGAAGGGTGAAGGCAGTTGATTCTGAGGAATTTTCCTGTAAATAAGAAAATATGAAATTTCAAATCAAACAGCAAACAAAATATAAAGATAAAGAGTCGAGAACATTAAAAAGCAAAGATGCAGCTGAGAATTGTTAGGACATATTGCTGTTTGTTTATTCCCTAAAGAAAACATGTCTTCAATTGTAACTAGCCATATGAGTGGACGCGCTAACTTTAACTGATGTCAACCGATAACAATTCACCAGCCTCTAAGTTACTAGGACATAATCATAATCCACACTATGAAGAATTGTCTAAAACAGACAGCGGTACCATCAATACATATTTGAGAAATTTTATGCAAAGGAATTCACAATCTATATGCTTTCTCAATCAAAACCCGATCCATGTAAACTAGCTCTTATTCAGATGGTCATGATCCACTGTTCTTGTCAATACAAATGGTCAATTAAATCAATGTAAGTCAACTTAGAATATAACGTTGTTTCACACAGTTAAACCATGAAGCTAACCGTAGACACACCAGATGATAAATGCACAAGGCTTATGCAAAAATCCAAAATTTCTAGCAAGAATCAGCTCAAATGCAGTCATAGTTGACATTCAAAAACCAATTGATCTCCTCCTGGAATTTAACATTTTGATAATATTATAAGAAAGCTCCAGAAGTAGCACTAAAGTAGCAATAATCCACGAGGCTCATGCGGCATAAAGTAAAGCTTAGTAATAATTAATAAAAACATGACGAACAACACAAGGTAACAAGATCAAGCAACTCATCACACAACATATCACAATCCCTGGCTTCATAACAAATGCTGACAAAACCAAATTACAACAACTTCATTTTGCATAACAATTACAAACAATTGCGTTTTCTCCTAAATGATCAAAGTCAAAGTACAAAATTTTATCAAAACAAAAGTTTTAAAATTTAGGTACCCAGTTGAAGTTTTGATCAGACAAACAAAACCCATGTCATATATAATCAAACAAACAGATCAAATTCAACATAATAACAGAGAGAAAAAGAGAAACCAAACATCCAGCTCAAGATGAGAGAAAAACCAAAACCGAAAATTGAAGCGAGAAAAGTGAAATTGAAAAGTAGGGAGAAATTAGAGGGAAATAAAAAGAGGATCGGGCAATTGAATTACGTACCTAAATTGATGTTGAAAATGAAGGGGTAAAACCCTAGATTTCACTTCATGAGCAGAGATCTTAACCTACACAAAATATGCGGAAAACATGCACAAAATAATTGAATGTTTTAATTAATATTAGAATAGGTGACAAAAATCACCCGCTTCACATCCCTATAGACTATACATATGCAAAGCAGAGAAAGAGAGAAGGGTAAAGAGATTAGAGAGAGTGAAATAAAGACAAGATTTGCTTAGATAATTGAAAATTTGTAAGATTAGTACATTAATATTTTTTATTTTTTATTTATTTTTTGTCTTTTTTACATTTATAAATAAAATATAGAGTAAACGAATTTTTTCCATCCGAATAATGGCCGAATGACATTTTCCCTAAACCCAAAATTTTTAAAATATCACTTTAGTACCCATATTTATATTTTTTTTTTTATTCTAGCATCGTTATGACCCTAGACTACCACAGTTCTCTTTTCCGATCATCACTCACTAAAACCCTTCAAATCCTACTTCCGTCGACCTCGTCGATCGTCAACAATTGAACGATTAGACTTTGCGTAACTATCCCTCCCAACTCAAATTCTGATCAATCTCAACCACCAAAATTCAATTTTTCACCACCAAAAGACTAATCGATCTTTCCTCTTCAAAAGCCCCAACAGCCTAGACGAAGTTTGCTCTTTGTTTACCGTCATAATATAAATTTAGATAATAAAGTGGTATTTTAAAAGTTTATGAGTGGAAATGTGTCATTAAGTCATTATTTGGGTGGAAAAAAGTGGTTAACTCTAAAATTAAAGACAATGTTGAACTTAATGTCATTTTACTTGTCTATTTCATTATTTATTTATCATGTTAGTTTTCTTCTTTAACACAAGGGGAAAATTGAAACATTGGTTACATGTGAAATTCAAGATAAAGATTAGAGGGATTATTTATCTTTAAGAGTCATGCTACCATACCAATCATGGTAAATTCAAAGGATAATTTGTTCTATAGATTAATATGCTAGACGAGTTTTTAATGTTGAAAGTTCTTTCTAAAAGATTTGCATTGTTGGATTGCCATACAATAGAATTTACTGAGTTAGTAAATAGAGTATTTTATGTCTAATTATGGAAACCCAAAAATTGATTTCTCTCGTCAAACCTTTTTTATATTTTTTTATATTTTTTATTTTATAATTAGGGGTGTCCAAACTAATTTGTGCGTATTTTAACTAATTCCTTGAGATCCTGAAACTGCCGACTGAATAAAAACTCCAGTGGTCACTCTTATTAACAACCGTAAAGACTCAAACTTAAAAAATCATGTTAGATCATTCTCTTACTCTTTTACTCTAAAGGAGACTTGAACTTAGAAGACCATAGTAAATCATTATTGGCTCTTTTGCTATTAGGTCACCCAGCGGTAGTTTTCTAAATTTATTTAGAGTACATTAAATGTCAAAATGTCTTTGTTGTTCTTAATTATTTCTTCTAAATTAATTATTTTTCTCGGATAAATCTATAGTTATAAAGCTCTTTAATATATTTCTAACTGAACAAAAAGTAATGTTCTTCTTTCATAAATTCTATGGTAATAAAATTCACTTCTAAAACTATAATTAAAAAAACAATACCATACATCAAAAATTGTAATGAAAAAAATGGAATGGAAACTTTATACAAGTTCTTTACAAATTACAAACAAATATTCTTAGTGGTGGAGCCATCCATGGCTGGGCCAATCTTGTACTGGAATGGGCCAATCTTGTATTGGAATGGGCCATGTGTGTTTGTGCTCATTCCAAGAACTTAAAATTATTGGTCTCCTAAAGGATCCATCAGAGCTTATGACAAAAGGAAATTAATTTTTACCAAGGGATGGTGAAAGATTTTCATGTTGTTGATAAGACATTTGTCAACTTTTTATTTTTTATTTTTTCTAATGAGAGTTTTTTACGTTTCTATTTTTTTTTTTTTATAGTTAAATTATGATACAATTTTTAAGTCTTTAGATATGGGCATTTGGGATAATTGAAATTCGATAAAACTAGCATATTTTCATGAGTATTGAAAATGACGAATTTTATATGCAATCTCAATCATTTATATGCATTTTTTTTTTTTTTTTTGCATTCTAGATATTCTCTAATCATTGGTACCAATTAATATATAGCGATGGGCGTTACCTCTCCTTTCCCCTTTCAAATAAATTAAACTAATTGATTAAATTTCTTCTATTCGAAATTATCTTAGGTTTTTATTCCTATTACTTTGATTGGATTATCCATAATAGCATGAGTAATACTAGCCTTACAAAGAGGCATATAAAGACTCATACAAAGAGTTAAATCCAACCCTTGAAAGAAGGAAAAAAGAGAGAGACAAAGAGGCAATCATAAATTTCAAGGGCTAGATTTGATTCTTTGTATGACTCTTTGTAAGGCTAGTATTACTCTAATAGCATATCTATAATATAAATATATTGATCAATTAAACCTTTCATTAATTAACATCTCTTCTTCTTCTTTTAACAAACTCATTTCTTTAATATAATATGGGAAAGGTCAAGGTAAAATTTATGTTGTTGTTCATAGACACATTTTCAGTCAATGACGTTTATGTGAAACTTAAAAACAAATTCATTATCCTTTTCTAAAACAAATAATATCTGTTTGGTTAGACCTAAATTATTACAATTCAATTATATTAACGGCAATTACTCTTTTAAAGTAAAATTTGGGTGGCAAGAATGAGAAAGAGGTTAGCTTAGTAGTCAAGGAGGTTTGTTCACTTATTTGAGTTTTAGGGTTCAACCTTTGAGGTCATCTATCACAATAGCATTGTGACTTATCTAGTCCTTTAAGTTTGTAAGGTGTTCAATGAACTTCGAGAATTAATTGAGATACGAATAAGCTAGACTAGACACACCGGTTACTAAAAAGAAAAAAAAAAAAAAAAAAGGGAATGAGACAACGGAAAAAGAAGACAAGAAGCAAAAGAAATGGTGGAAAATAGAAAAAAAAACAAGTGGGGCAAAGGAATAGATAGGCATGTTTATTTGGGCAGTGAGAACGAGGGAGTGTCTATACCGACCAAAACACAAAAAGGAATAAAGCTAAAACACAAACCTTCACATGACTTCAAAAGAAGATATAAAAGATAGAGCCACTCTTGTTATTACTTCATCAACAAAAAAAAAAGATGTATTGTTACATCACATCACCGTCTCTCCCTTGTAAAGTGAATGAGTGAGAGACCACATTTTATAGACCCAAAATCAAGACAAAACTTCCATTAATTTATGGGTATTAATTCATTTTTCATATTGATTTAACTCATTCGACCAAATAGATAATTCTAAAATTTAATGTAAAATTAGAAGAAAAAAAAATCGTTTTTATAACTTTAAACTATAAATTATTGTATATATTGATGTTGTGATTTTTACCGATGAGAAATATATAAAATTTGTAATGAAATCTATGTAAGAGATTGTATAAAATCTACAATCTGATACAGGATCAATGGATGAATGAGAAACACAAACAACAAAAGACTTTTAAAGTGGTTCGAATGTTAAGCACTAATCCTACATCAATTATTTCTATAATGCTCTCTATCATTTTTTGTGTACAAATGCAGCTTGCACAAGATATGAATGAGACGTCTAAAAAATCTCCTAATTTGGGTTAAAAGTCAGCTTATATACTGTTATAATAACAAATTTGTAAATAAAGTTAATTTAAAACGAAATTACACGTGGCGTGAATCCATTATCTGAAGATTGATAGCACAACACTATTTAAAAGAAGTATAACATTGATTAGCATTAAAAAGACAATACTAATCTAAGTTAGATTACAATGGTTACCTTAAATAATAAACTGTTGACTACCTTGCTTTAATACATGTCTTTTGCAGTCGAAAAAAAGTTAACCTAACAAGTGAGGCTCTTTTCCTTTTCTGATAAACAAACTTATAATATAATTGATTAAAAAAAGATCAATTCTAAGATTATCCACATTTGAGGAGAGTGAGCTTGGTTTCCTGGAAAAGACAACTTTCTTGAGAAAATTTTAACGTTATTTATACTTTCTTGGGAAAAGGATTTCTAAAACTTGAATTAAATATAAATTAATCAAAATATTCTCACATGCACTTGTCACACATGGCACACATGCCTCATTGTACTATATTAGCTTCAAAACCAAGTGTCAACATGTGTATCAAATCAAGACATAATCTAATTATATTATTACTTAAACAACTTGATAATGTGATTATTAAATGATTAAATATGATCTAGGTTTTGCAAGAAAAGAAGAAAAAAAGTTTCTCAAGGGAGACAAACATATCATGCTTTATCATATTTTAATTACATATATCCACTCAATCAACATGATTCATTTTCAAAACCACACACTTTTAATAATCCCATATGGAATTAAAATTTCATAATATATTTCATGGGGTAAGAAGATATTGTAATATTGGTATGATATGTGCATACATTAATTACACATAGCATACATTTGTATTACTTTTAGAAATAATCCAGAAAACCCACAAAGGTATTTCATCCCATCTATATTACAAGCTAGTATCTTTGCATCACACATAAATAATTTCATAATATAGTTTTTGGGATATATATCATATTAATACCCGTTTAACAATCCCATGTCAAAATTACAATTCTATTGTATATATATCTACATAGTTTATTAAACATCTTACACATAATCATTACATTTTAAATTAAAAGCTAGTATCTTAATTTAATTTTTTTTGGTAATCGGGGTGTTCGGGCCAACGAATTGCTCTCGGAGTATATTGAACACCCTACGAATCCAATATAGATAAGTGACAAATGTGATAGATAGTTACTTGTAGGATTCAAATACAAGACCTCTAGATAATTTAAAGTTTTGTCATTACACCGCAAAACAAGTAGTTAACAGTTATATAATATACATTTATTGACTTGTGATATGGTTGATGTGATATATCATCATATATTAACATTGTCCATTTTTAATTCCATGTTATGAAATTATTCTCGATTTTATGAAAACGCGTTTAGTTGAAATATGGGTTTTATGTTGAAAAATATATATATATATATAGAGAGAGAGAGAGAGAGAGAGAAAGAGAGAGGAAAAAGAGGGGAAAAAGGAGAGAAATGGGGGAAGGTAGAGGCAATTGATGGGAGTTTTCAGTTGTATGCAGGGAATGTGCAGAACATGGTGTACATTTGATGCTGCTTCACTGTCTCACCTTTGTCACATGCCTTCTCTTTCTCTTTCTCTTCAAATTAATCTTCTCTTTTCTCATCACCATGCATGTGCCTTCCCATGTGCTCTCTCCCTCTCTCTCTCTTCCATTTCAGGGCTTTGCTGGCCCATATCACCTTCACATGCGCCCTTTGGGGAAGCCACCACCACCACCACCACCACCCCAACTCTCTCATTTTCTTACTTTCATCTTTCGTTTAATTACTCTTTTGCCCTCCTTGCTACATTTTTTATCCATCCCCGCCATTTATAAAGCCTGCATCTTGCTTTTTGCATCATTTTATCTTCAACATTATGGTAAAAGTTTCAATTTTCTCAACATTTTATGAAAAGGGTACTTGGGAAATTCATTCAATTTCAACTTGGCTCTATGGCTTTTAAAGCTCTTGCAACAAAAAATATCTCCACTCAAGAACTTAAGGGCCTACTGCAAAGATTTTTTTAATGATCAGGATTATCTGGATCAATTTATGTGTACATCAACTAATTCTTGGAGATCTTGAAACTATCGGATAATAATTCTAATAATTATCTCTATTAGCAGTTACAAAGCATCATAGAGATTTCTTCCCCATAATTAATTCTCCCGTGAATATAAATTTTAAACTAAAAATTGATTAGTCTTGACCCATTCAAGATATTTTCCAAAGCAATGATAATAATAAAAGCACACATATATATATAAAACAAGATGCAAAAAATAAGAAGAGAATGAGAAAAACGAAATGGCAGAATAGTAATAATCAGAAAAACAAATGGCAAATGCTCAACCCATCCTTACTTAAACCCACAATCTCCTGCTCTTCTTCTCCCGTATTAACATTCTCATTCTCCTCCCCTTCACTTTCACATCATCAACTCTCTTTCTTTCTTTCTTTCTTTCTCAGTTCTCACAATGAGAACAGGAAAAAACGTTTCTTTCCTCAAACCCTCCGCGCTAAGAAAGACTCAAACAAGAAGAGCAAGAACGTTAAGAGCAAGAACAACACTGAGGAGAAGAAGAATGGTTCATGGCCATGGCCATTGCAGCAGCAGCAGCAAGAAGGTGGTGATGATGAATGGCAAGGTCTCGGAAAAGCTCGAGACTTTGAAAAACCTCATTCCTGGCGACAGTGGTGATGGTGATAACCATTGTTATGATGATGGGACGATTAAAGCCGACCAGTTGTTCCAGAAAACAGCTGATTATATCATCCTCTTGAGGAGCCGAGTCCTCATTTTGCAAAGTTTGATTCAGCTTTATGGATCTTCTTCCCAAGAAGAAGATGTTTATGTATTATAGTGTTAATTAGTTAATTAATTACCATTTTCTTCTTCTTCTTCTTATTATCTTTTTGCTTTGTTAATTATATGTAACTTCTGTTAACTGGGACAACAATGTTTGATATAATTAACCATTATGAGGCCTTTAATTTTAATCTTTTTGGAGGATTTGAATTTGTTTTTCTATTTTTGTTTTTTGGTTTGAAGAAGTTGATCAGAAGAACCCCAGAATTTGCATTGGGATTTTAATTCATTTATGTTCATAGAATATCACAAAGGACTTTGCAGCTAGCTAAAGTTTAAGATTTTTAGATTAATTTAAATATGAGAATACATACAAAAAGTTTGATATAAAAAAAACTAAGTATATATAAACTTCCTTTTGCCAGAAATATATATATAAAACATCAAATGATGAATCTGAACTGATGTTTGGATTCTTCAATTTGACCTCTTTTTCATCTTGTTATTATCTTCTAACAAAGACAAGTTAATTAATATATTTAATCAGTTTAACAATCAATGAGAAGGGGTGAACAGAGTTAGCCAAAAGCTCAAGAACACAGCAAGAACAGAGTTAGGATCATGATATGTTTCTATTTTGGGAACATTACCATGTTTGGATAGTTTGGATAGTTTTACGATACATTACTGTACTATGTTTGCATAGTTTAACAATATATTATTGAACTAATCTTATTTAATAAGTAGATATTGTCTGTTTTGAGATACGTTATAAGATTTCACTTACTAAACGATATAAGATGTGACACTTATTTTCTCAACAACCCAGCTCATATTTTTCACAATTACAATGTATAAATTGAATGAAACTCTGGCTAGCAGCTAGCTCTTATTTTTGTTGTGGAGGTTAAATGATTATTGGCATATGCAATGTAATGTAATGTAATGCAATGAGGTGGTGGCAGGCTTTTTCACAGCAAAGCCATTGTGATGTTTGAGTATGAAAGTATGGGAGAGATGACATGAATTGAATTATGTGGGCATTTTTTTTTTTTTTTGCTTTTTCTGAGATAATGCTAGCTCTTTACTTCACATAATAACATAATATCTGAGTACTGAAATTGAATCTTGAAAAATTTCACACTCTCTGTCAAGACCACCACGTGCAAAAGCCAAAATTTTAGGAGCTTTTGCCTCCACTTTTTTTTTAATCATTTTTTGAGTTGTTTTCATTTTCAATATCAAACACAAGGGCATGAGTGACTGTGACCACTGTACCTCATAAGTCTCATATGGGTTCCTGCAATTTTTCTGATAAACTTAGCACATTTAGCAGTGTCATTTCATCACCATCACCATGTTGTCCTCTCAATTTTCCAAGTTTTTCAAACTCATTCTTTAGCAGTTGTTGAATTTGAGTATGCAAGTAGTGTATGTAATGATTCATTACAACTACATCGAAATTTGTGATTCTTTTATCACAAGTTTACCAGATAATTACCGACTTCTTACTTGGCTTAGATTATTGTGAGATCCTCTATTCAACTTAGTAGAGTGGAACTCAGAGTTATAATCATTATAAATTCGAACTTGGTTATCACCTTTTCGAACGAGTCAAGAGTATCAATTGAGCTTTAAACTCGTTTGGAAAGATGATTCTTAGGTTCTAGTCAAGGGTTAAATTTTAAATCTTACAATTTGAGGTGGGTAAGAGACAAATTCAAGTCCCATCAAATAAGTTGGATAGAATAATATGTAATGTTCTATCTTTTCAAACTCCACTGGGAGATGTTACATTTATAGTTGCTAATTAACATAATTACATTTTTGATGATTCTTATGTAAAGGAAAATTTCAAGTTCAGGCTTAAAATCGAGACTTAAACTCTTGATTAGAAGATGAGTCAACTCAAAGCATGTGAGATTTTGTGTTTTAATGTTGCGAAAAGACATGGGATAAGCTGGATATGGGCCTAACCATGTAACTCAAGATTTGTTTTTTACCCAAAATCATTGACACTTTCTGAAGTCAAAAGTTGAATCCAATTATGATGTTTTTTATGGCCTATTGACAAGTCTTTATAAATGATAAACCATCCAACAATGTTAATTCCCTATGAATATGGACCAAAACTGACATGATGTATATGTAACCATCCTTCAATTTTACTTTGTTATTCCCATTTCCAAGATGGGACTAGTTTAAAGGCCATTTAATTGCTCAAGAACTCCTGGAACGATCGCACAAAACGACAACCTATATATATATATATATTCTTTTAAAAAAAAAAAAGAAAAAAGAAAAAAGGAAACAAAAAAGATCAAACAAATCGTAGAATGTTTGAAACTTGCCGGTTAGCCAGCACTTGCGTGCTATCAGTCAGTTTAATGTTGAAAACCAAGTAGATATAGTTCACTTCAAACTTTTTAACACAGAGCGCGTCTACTACTTAACCAAGAGGACTTGAATCTTATAAACCGATTCATCTGACTCTTTCGCAAACGATGTGAAATGTGATATATTAATCCAGTTAACTTTAATTATCTATTTTGTGAGCAGTGGAAGAGTGACTCAAGTTTTGCCAGATGCTGGACAGCTTCACTTGAACATAATTCTGATTGATAAACTTAAGATTTGGTGGCCTGCATTTGGCTGTAACTCTACTTCTTGTTTAGTACTTGATTTTATTCTAATGCTGTACGCTTCTTGTTTTTGACCTTTTGTTGACATGACAACTAGTTCAAGTTGGCTCAAGGAAACGTTTGATTCTTGTTTTAGTTTCCTTTGTCTTTTCATATCTCTGTTTTGCTGTTTCTCATATCACTTTCGGAGTTCATCCTTCACTAGCTGCTTATTTTTGGACGTATGGCATAATTGCAAAGACATCTTCATGTCATTGTGAGACTTCCTAATCAAGAGACACTTTTGAATTTTTATACACGCTTAAAAGAAGGATATGACAACTGATCTTTTCGATTCTATAAGAAAGTAAAACAACATGTTAAATTTTGAAAAATATGATCCCTTATGCCTTGATCCAATCCAGGAAATTCTTAAAATTCTTGTTGGACTGACCACCTTCTCTGACACTATCCATGGTTTTTTCCTGGAGTTTCAGAACTCTTTCTTTATAACTTTCATCACAAAGCACTTGATCCACCTTGTTCTTGATTTCTTCTCGTGTGATGATCCCACTTTCGTTTTTGTTAAACTTTAATCCCACTTTCCAAACATCACAAATGTAGCTCTCATTAAGAAATTGGTCAACAAGGTATGGCCAGCACAAGAAAGGAACTCCATTGCTTACACCTTCCATGGTGGAATTCCAACCACAATGGCTCATGAAACAGGCAACAGAGGGGTGGCTCAGAACCTTCTGTTGCGGCGCCCAACCGATCATTTGGCCACGCACGGCGACCCTTTCTTGAAATCCTTCTGGGTAGGCTTCATTTGCATCATCAGTAATGCCTGGCCTCACAACCCACAGGAATGGCCTATTGGTGAGTTCCAGTCCTAGAGCTAACTCCTGGAATTGGGATTGGTCAAAAACTGTGTAGCTGCCAAATGCAGCATAAATGACTGATTGGGGCTGCTGTTGGTCAAGCCATTTCAAACAAGTTGAGTCTTCAGGCCAAAAGTATCCTGCAGAATTTCCTAGGCGACTGCTTGCTAAAAGTGGTCCTATTGGAAGAAGTTGGGGAACCAATTTGAATGCTGCAGGCTCAAGGTCGAATGTTGAGTTACAAATCAGGAATTCTGCCTTTTTCATATATTCATTGTTTCGAAGACCAAGATTAAAGATGATTTTCTGTGTGGTTAAGCCGCCAATGCCGTGCCAAACAAAAAAATCACTGTTGAATGTAGGCATGCCTGGAGCTAATTGGATCATCTGCTTTTTGATTGTTGTTCCTGAAACGAATACAAAACCAGAGAAGTGAGAACAGAATAATGATGATTATCTTTGTGACTTGGCTGATTCAGGAATTGTGAGGATCTTACCATCTTTGTCAATGATTCCATCATCCATCAACTTTGGCACACTGAAAGACATGGCCATTAGTCCTGCTGCTGGAGGCCAAAAGATAACTCCCTTGATTTTCATCTTTTCTGCAACTTCAACACCCCATCCCATATTCACATCAGCAATAATACAACTGACCTTATCACCGTCTTCTCTGTTGATATCTTCAATGAGCTTCTCCAGCTTTCCAGGCATGACGCGGAGAGTCGCTTTAGTTAACGTCCCGATGTCATTTCTGTCCTCCCCTTCTTCCACTCCATCCGGGAGCGTTACAAAGCGGATTTGATCACCTATAGCATGCTTTTCTTCTAGCGCATTCATGACTCTCGTGTGATTGAATTCTGTGTTGACAAAGGTGATTCTGAAGCCACGCTGAACCAAGCGTTGTGAGAGTTCCAGTAAAGGAATAACATGGCCTTGTAAAGGATAAGGTAAAGCAACAGCATGTGGGCTGCACATTGTTTCTGATTGTAGGTTGTAATATTCCTCGGGGATTCAGCTTATTAATTAGTCGTAGTTTATGTAAGTTCATGTTTCTTTTATAGGGAACATTGGTGGCTCATTTAGTCACTTGGCTTGACTAAATATCCAGCATTTATTTTACTTGGCCATAAAGCAACCACTTGTCAAACCATGACTCCACCACTTTAACATGCCACCATCTTTGACTGCCACCTTTGAAAGCCGCCATCTTTGACACCGGATGAATTTGATCTCTTGTTTCATGATATTGTACAGGAAACAGCAAGTTAATCTACAGGGAAACATTGGAGGAATTGAGGACTGAGAAGCCGAGGCTTGATTTATTGTTTTCTTATGCATTGAACTTTAGCAGGAATCAAGTGCGGAATCTCTTGATTTGTTTCTAGTGTTGAGGCCATTTTGTTAAATTTGTTGTTTAGTTGTTGACTTGTTTGCCATGGTTTGGTACTTTGGTTTACACTTGTATCTTTACTGTTTACACTGCCGTTTACAAGTTAATTTCTCTAGCCTTTCATGGCTTCTTTAAATAAATGTCATTCTCATGCAAGATTATTGACGATTTTAGTTTGCTTATTTCTCTCTCTCTTTTTAACCAGAGTGTCCGGGCTAATTTGCACGTATTTCAACTAATCTTCGAGGTCTATTTAACATCCTAAACTATAATATTATTGTGGTAGATGACCTCAATGTTTGAACCCAAGAGCTCAAAGAAGAGAACAAACCTTTTTGAGAGTTTAGAGAAGAAAACAAAAAGAAAACAGAGAGAGAGAGAACGAGAAAGAGATCTGAAAAATTCGTGTATTATCTTTTTTCTACTGTTTGTACAGTAAGTACACTTTTTATAGTGCTCATAACAGTAACTAACTAGTGCAGTAGTTAACTAACGTAGGTTCAGTAACAAACTAACGCAGTGGATTAAGCTGAACTTCTACATGACTAACTTTGCTAACTCTTACTAACATCCTCCCTTAAACTGGACTGCTCTGAACTACACTACCATTTGCTAACATCCTTCTGTAAACAAAACAGCTTTGAACTACACCATCTCTTGCTAATATCCTGCAGTAAACTGAACTTGGATGATGAACAATATTCTTCAATGGAACTGAGCAATTCGTGGCTGAAGCAACCTCAAGTGATCTAGAAATTCCCAATTGATCTTCAAACAAGAACAGAATAGCTCAACAAATACCCATAGTGCAGAAGCAGCTTTAATTCAACTCTTTAAAATCAACCAAAAAATAAACTAAACATAATTCTGTAGCTCAACAGATAACCATAGTGCAGAAGCAGCTTTTAATTCAGCTCTTTAAACCAACCAAAAAATACCCATAGTGCAGAAGCAGCTTTAATCCAGCTCTTTAAAATCAACCAAAGACAAACTGAACACAATTCTGTAGCTCAACAGATAACCATAGTGCTTAAGCAGCTTTTAATTCAGCTCTTTAGACCAACCAAAATAAACTGAACACAATCCTGTAGGAGCAGCTTTCAACTTGAATCAACCAAATAAAAACTAAATCAACTCGTATCTGAAGCAACCTCAAGAAGATACAGATAGCCTGAGCAAAACTAAACTCAACCAAGCAAAATGAGACCAAACAAGGCTGGATCTTTAACAAGGCTGGATTTTAATTCTTAATTCTGCAAAAAACCAAGCAAGTAAAACTGGAACCAAGCAATCTGGACTTGATACTGCAAGAGCAGAATGCTGTAGGAGCAGCTTTCAACAAGGCATTCAAAACTAAAGAACAGCAGCCAAAACATCAACCAACAGCTTGGCTTTAACTCTGCTTTAAGTAAAGAACAGAGTAGTCTACAAATTCATTCTGCTTTAAGCCTGCAAAACTACTTTGAGTCTACAGGTGTTTTAGTTCTGCTTTGGGTCTGTAGGAGCAGCTTCCAAGTTGTTGTCTGAACAGTCATCAGCAGAAGGAATATTTAGAATATCAGCTTGTAAGAGAGAAACAGTCACTGTTAGCTTTGCTCTTAAGGTCTCAAAGCGTGCAGTTGACAGAGATTTAGTAAAAATATCTACAGTTTGATACTCAGTAGGAACATATTGTACTTTTAGATTATTGGCTGCTACTTGTTCCCTTATATAATGTGCATCCAATTCAATGTGCTTGGTTCGGGCATGAAACACTGGATTTGAGGCAAGGGATCCAACACTCTGATTATCACACCGAATGACAGGGATTTTAGGAAGATGCACACCAATTTCAGAAAACAAACTCCTAAACCATGCGATTTCAGTGGCCCTTTGTGCAAGTGCTCTATATTCTACCTCTGTGGAAGAGAGAGATACCACCTTTTGTTTCTTGGAACTCCATTGTAGTAGATTGGAGCCAAGAAACAGACAACAGCCACTGGTGGACCTTCTATCCTGTAGACTGCCTGCCCAATCTGCATCAGTGAAGCACTCAAGATGCATTCTATGTATTTTAGTAAACTGAACTCCAAAATGTGTAGTGCCCTAGAGATATCTCAAAAGCCTTTTGCAGGCCTGCCAGTGTAATTGAGTAGGAGCCTTGAGAAATTGGCTAAGTTTGTTGACAGAGTAAGCAATGTCCGGCCTTGACAAGGTTAGATATTGCAATGCTACAATTGTGCTCCTATAGACTGATGGTTTATCAAACAGCTTACTGTCTTCAAAAGTCAATTTATTACCTAGAGCCATAGGAGTAGGGCAGGATTTTGCATCCATCATGCCTGTTTTAACTAGTAGATCCCTTGCATACTTTGCTTGGCTCATGTGAATGTATGTATCAGTTCTGTGTACTTCAAAGCCCAAAAAATACTTGAGAGAGCCCAATGTTTTCAAGGCAAATTCAGTGTTCAATTTGTGAACTATTTCATGGACCAGCTTAGTGTTACTTCCTGTCAACAGGATATCATCAACATATACAATAACATACACAACAGCCTCATGATGTCTATAAATGAATAAGCTTGAATTAGCCACCGAAGATATAAAACCCTATTTCAGAAAGGCAGTTTTGAGCTTCTCAAACCAGGCTCTTGGAGCCTGTTTTAGACCATAGAGTGCCTTGATCAGTTTACAAACATGGAGAGGGTTCTTATCATTAATGAAACCTGGAGGTTGAGTCATGTACACTGTCTCACTAAGTTCTCCATTCAAGAATGCATTATTAACATCTACTTGTTGTATATCCCACCCATAGGTAATAGCTAAGCTAAGGATAACCCTAATAGTAGATGATTTGATCACGGGACTAAAGGTTTCAAGATAGTCCATATCGGGAGTTTGCTGAAAACCTTTAGCAACCAACCTGGCTTTAAATCTTTGGATGGAACCATCTGAATTGTGTTTAATTCTAAACACCCATTTACAACCAACAATATTCATATGGGGTTCAGTTGGAACCAACTCCCAAGTATTGTTAGAAAGAAGAGCAGTGAACTCACTTTGCATAGCAGATTTCCAGGCTGGATGAGAGATTGCCTCAGTTACACTTACTGGTTCATTTGTGTTAAGATGAGAAAGGGAACCTGTGGAAGAAACTAACATAGAGCTATGAAGTTTGGCTTTTGACCTAGTGATCATAGGGTGAGTGTTTAAATGTTGAGTAAGAGTGTGTAAAGGCTGCATTGCAGTGTTTGAAGTCTGAGTTGTAAAGGGCAGTTCAACTACAGAATTAAAGTGATCTATTAAGCCCACTGGTTGCCTAGATAAGCCTACTAGTTGCCTAGATAAGCCTACTGGTTGCCTAAAGCTAGAATCAGCTTTTGAAGAATCAGATTTTGAAGAAATGGAAGGCTCAAATGGTTAATCTGCCAAGTCTAATGAAGGAGACAAAGTTACTAATGAGTTTTGCTGACCCACCGTGAGAGGAACATGTAATGAAGCAGAAATTTCAGATTCAACATTTGATAAGGAAACAGAAGTGTCAAAACCAGTAGGTGGTGAAGTGTTTTGACCAGGCGTATGAGATAATGAATTCTGACTAGTTGTATGAGGTAATGAAGAAGTTAGACAAGTGTCAGTATTTGTATGTAAAGAATGTGAAGGAGATGAGAATAGTTTAAAGGAATGGTTGTTGTAGAGTGAAAAAGAAGAAGAGACACTGTTTTTGGGTGTTAGACTAGGAGAGAAGGCAAAAGGAAAATTAGATTCATCAAAATTGACACTTTGACAGATGTAAATTTTACCATTGGAATCCATGCATTTGTACCCTTTGTGATGCATGCTATACCCAACGAAAGTGCATTTAGTAGTATGAAATGCAAACTTATGAGAGCTATAAGGTCTAATAAATGGAAAAATAGCACAACCAAAGGTTCTAATCCCTAAGTAGTCTGGAGGCTGATCAAATAAAACCTGAAAAGGTGACAAATTAGAGAGAATAGGAGTGGGTAGTCTATTTGTAAGATAGACAGCAGTTTGGAAAGCAAACCACCAATATTTTAGGGGCATACTAGCTTGAGCAAGGAGTGTTAGGCCTTGTTCTACAATTTGTCGATGTTTTCTTTCCACACGGCCATTTTGTTGGTGAGTATAGGGACACGGATGCCTAAAGGTAATACCATGATCAAGAAAATAGGAAACTAAACTTCTATATTCACCTCCCCAGTCTGTTTGAACACATTTCAGACTTGTACTAAACTGTCTTTCAGCTAGTTTGTGAAATTGTTTAAACAGTAGTTGTGTTTCAGACTTAACTTTCAAAGGAAAAATCAAAGTGAACCTGCTATAGTCATCTAAAAATTGAATATAATATTTAAGGCCTTCAGGTGAAGGCACAGGTGATGGTCCCCACAAATCAAAGTGTACTAGTTCTAAAGGTTTAGATGCTCTAGAATTGGACCTAGGAAAAGTAGACTGGTGAAGTTTGCCAAATTGACAAGCTGTGCAGAAATCAAGAGTGTTTGCAACTGTATGTTTTAGGTTCAAAGAGTGCAAAATTTTTGCAAGAATTGTGGCATTAGGATGACCTAAGCGTTTATGCCATAACAGACCATCAGTTTTTATAGTAGAAAATGATTGAATCATATCTTTATTAGGTTCAGTATCAT